TATATATATATTAAACAGAGAGGGAGAGAGAAAGAGAGAGAGAGAGAGAGAGAGAGAGAGAGAGAGAGAGAGAGCGAGAGAAGTAGCCGAGCATGTAGCAGTGACACGCAAGTATAACGATCACTGAGACTCCCCTCATATAACATATATGGCTGGGAGAAAGAGATCCGGAAGAGAAGGGAGAACCACGGTAAGAATACGTAGCTCTGCAATAACTCAATGGAGGAGAGGTGGCGCCAGATGCCCTTATGGCGAGCGCCACCTTATAAATTGCGCGTAGGCAAATGAAGGTCAGATTCCCGCGTGCCAATCAAATGCACCATGCGCCCTGCTTGACACGCTCACGCACAGGAGCAATGTATAAGGGGGACGTTTTTAATAGTGCTTTTAAAACGGTTAGAAATGCTTTAAATAGCGGGATGTAAACATTTTCATTTCTAGCAGGGATGCTCTGACAGATCCTATTGCGTCTTGTTCAACGGTGAATGCGAAGTGTTGATGTGGCTTCTCTTTCCTACGGTGGGTGGGTCCGGAGAAAGGCCAAGCAATATCACTAGATTCAGAGGAAAAGGTTTATTCACGATCCTCAATCATGCTACACTATAATCCCTAATTTGCCTCTAAGCCTGCCTTGGAGCCGTATAATTCCGCGCAAGCGTGTTTTGCATCGGTTACACACACACACACACACACACACACACACACACACACACACACACACACACACACACACACACACACACACACACACACACACACACACACACACACACACACACACACACACACACACACACACACACACACACACACACACACACACACTATAACTACACACACACTACACACGATAAGAATTATTTTAGGCGGACTTTGCCCACGTGCTGAGCACATATATATGCTGTGGATGTTTAAGCCCGGCTTTAGATAATAAACCTTATAGGTACTACAGCTATGCTAAATTCGCTTTGCGGGTGATGACCTTATTATTGAGATACGGTTTTTGACTTGTATAGTTCTCAGCTAAAAAGCCCAGTGAAGAGCATATTCGCAATCGCGTTACGGCGAAATACGCATGAATATTATTATTCACAGCTGCGATAGGCGTATTCCTCACTTTGTAGCGTGTATGGAAGTCTAACTTCAGAGTAGGTTCGGGTTGAAGTCAGGGTTAGGGTTAGATAGAATTATGGTTAATTTAGTTCTAACCCTAGGTGCAATAGCTAAAGCTGAGATGAGTCGACGCTTGTACCAAATCCTAACGAGATAGCAGAATTTTTTACGTTATACCGGCTAGTTATTAAAATTAAAGGCAATCATTGTATATCGTAGAAGTAAAATATGCTTTTCAAATGCATTGTCCGGCTACGAAATTACATACGTCGATGAATGTTGTCACTAAAATTATAAACACGTTGTTATCATTGTACAATTATTCATCACTGTAATGCGCTATTATAATTTATAATAATAATAATAACAACGCGCAATTTTATAATAATCATTATAGGCCTTTTGTGATCATATGACATATAATAGAGAATATATACTAGAATAGAAGATATAGGAGATGGTGATATAATACTCCTGCTGTGTCATTAGTATAAAACGTACCAGTAAATTAACTGATGTACGACCATCCGGTCTTGAATACGGTTCACGTGCACTCACAAATCAAGACTGGGTGATCGAAATCTTAGTTGTAATATATATATATATATATATGCTTACAAATTGTGGCAGAGAATATATCTCTGTTTATCGTGTGTGAACTCACCGGAACCAAATTGAAAGCGTGATCCTGTAAATTGTTATCGGCTACCCTCGATGGAAAATTCGACAGCTAAACCTTTCCACCCGAGACCAGTCAGAGAAGTGCACCATTCACCTGTACAAAGGCCGTAGCGACGTTATCAGTGCGTTTTGACTTCACTACGCGGCTAATGCTATGTACACACCGAGTCAGGTCAACAAATCAGCTGAGTCACAGCCTTATACCGTGCATAAAGAAAGGCGAAAGCACCGTATCCAGAGAATATACAATCCTAGTTATTAGTACGCCGTCAGTCGTTAAGGATACTCTCAAGGTTTTAGGAAAATTTTTACCGATTTTTCATTTTCAACTTTATTCGATGGCTAACACTATGTGCCACCTGTGTACATGCTCATTTCTCCATATAACGGTACATGTGAACTGTCAGAGCGTTTTGCTTGCCCGCGTACATGTGTAGTGAGCCGCAGCTGACGTCAGAAAAACGCTGATTTCTCCGTTCCAATTTCTGACTTAGTAGTCGATGTATAAATGGATATTTCTCTGTGATTACAACTCGGAATAATTTAATTTTACACTCGTTTTACTGGTAACATATTGCTGTAAAAAAGCGCGTCAGGGATTGTTATTAAGTGCCGTATTTTATGAGTTATCTCTCTTTATTCGCAAAAATTTTAAATTCAAACGTGCGACTTGAATTTTAAAGTTTTTTAAATTTTTCATGGTAAATATGAAACTTAAAGAAAAATCCTGATGCACTATTTTGGTACATATTGTGTTTAACATGTGGCGAAAATTTTGTATCCTCACTCTTTCTGGTAATTGAGAAATATCTAAAATACCATTTTTACATAAAAATTCAAACTTTTTGTGGTAACATAATTAGATGCTGGAAATTTCATGAAATTTTTTGCCTTGAGCATAGAGATATATCTCCTCTATAAATAAAACAAGTGATTGATTCGATTCATTCGCCAATAAACGTTTAATCTTCACTAGAGAAATACCCGTGCACAACTTGGAGAGTATCCTTAACGTAGTGTGCCGATAGCACTTTGCCAAGAGAGCTCGCAGGAATATATGCATACTATGGTGTTCCAAAATTGCCATCGCGCGTCGTGCGATTCAAATGTGCGAC